TAAAAATATAAAACGTTTTCCATACCTAAAGTGATGGATCGTTGTTAAATCCTTAAATCATCTAAAATGTTTTTTTTTTTGTCTGATATTGAGACTTGCATACATGCGGTAACTAATTTGTAAAGGCTTTATCCTATGTACAAATCATAGATACAGCCATGAGAAAGCTGTACATCTGCTAAAACAATTCTATGCATTTTCCTCTTTACATAAAGAAATTTGATATTGAAGTAACGGTTGTGTCTCATCCGCGTTAATTCCTATTTGGTTAATAAATACTATCTATATTCGTGGTATTTTGCTACGTCAAAAGGATCAACAGATCTTTGCTCATCCATTGATAATTCAATCTTAACAAAACAGTTTCTCTGAACTAAACCTGGAAAACTAGTTTTCTTTCAATAAAAGAAGCAAGGAAATCGAGTTTTATTTGTTACAAAAGAACCAAAGTTTTCGTAACAGGTCATGCATTCCCCGCTTCGAGGTAGTACATTGCTCCATTACTAAGATCCGATACTACTCTTTTTTCATCATATAGGAATATTTCTCCTTTCGTAAATAGAGACTTTGTTGCTAATTAGCATTTAACGCTAACCAATCACAGAAATATTGTATATCATTATTCGTTACCCATTTATTGGAAGAAATTTGTTTTCAGGAAATTCTATTTAATTCACTTTGATCATCTAAGGTATGCATAAATCGAAGGATATCGCAGTAGTTGTTTGATCGAAGGTTACAAATAGTGGTAATCTGAAGAAAGCTTTAGTACATATCGTCCGGTAATGCTGTTGCATCTTATTGCATTTATAGGTGGGTTCCAGTGTATACAGCAATTTTAGTTGATATGAGATTTTGATCCGTAATTCTTCACAATTCCATCTTTCAGGAGAATGAATGGAATACCAGATATTTATTACACTTCTTCTTTCTCGTCACTTGAGTAGCTATTACGGAAATTATCGTTAGCAAGATCATGCTTTTCATTATTGAATTCAAATTATCTTTTGGATTTTTGTTTCATAGTAATCCTGATCCGTAGAGCTTATTCTTCGCCTTGTTCCGATAATTCATACTCCCATTTTGGCCATTTACTCTTTTCTTCCTTTAACGATGTTGGACCATACCACCATAGACTGAAGTTTTCCAGTTTCTTCGCTGATAGTCTTCTTGTGGCACATCCGCAGAGTTTTATTTGCTTGGAATATAGCAAAATTAAAATTTCGAATTTCGTATCTCTTCGACAAGAAGCCGACTTATCGATGAGAAAATAAAACACCTTAAACTGTACATTACTACTTTAACGGATAGATGGAATATCTTTACAAATGCGTAGCTTCTCAACATGGAAAAGAAGAAGAAGGAAAACACGAGGGAATAACAGCCGGTGATAAAGGTGATGCCGATGATATATTTTAATGCGATAAGTGGAGGAAAAGAAGCTTAAGAGATATATAAGAGTAAAACAGAGCTTGTCCTCCTTTGCTTAGCACAACAACTAACCCGAGAGTTTGAAACTCCAGAACTAACTGCACATAGCACAGTTAATTTACTTCAGTTGTCTTTACCAACATATATTGGTGACCCAGTACAACAGAGGGAGCAGTTTTAACGCTCCAATATATTCGCAAGCGATTCCAGGTATTCAGAAATTGAATTATTTGATCTCTTGCCTTAAAGGAAATGCATTGCAAGATATAATAACACGAGTGGCGATGGTTACTGTAGTTCATTCGTCGATAATGCAATAAGAATAAATGAAATCAGTCAAAATTCGAAATACAGAAGAATTGACAATGATTAAGAGCGTCAAAGGGAATATTTTTATTAAGTAACACAGTTTATTGGAAGATGACAGTTTCCGCAAACTAAACTGAGAGGAAAGGAAGATTGACGATAAGCAGAAGATGTAGCTGAAGATGTAAAGGCGACGATCCTTATAATCCACAGTTGAATCTTATATAGTGCGAGACGTGTGATCAAGTAAAATGTTAAACGTTAAAAACAATTTGTAAAATCTTTTAATGCGCAAATGCTTACATTATCATGAATTATAAAAATCACAACATGTTTGGAAGAAATTGAAAGAATTGGCAGATTTCCAATGCAGAGTAAATAAATTTGTTTATATGATTCAAGGAGTTAAACAAAAAGATGATCTAAATATTTACTATAATTTTATTTGACCAAATTATTGTATGTTAAAACAAATTAAATCCATAAAAAGGAGAAAAATCTGACAGTTTTATGGCATAAATAACTAACGAATAATTTCCTTTTTATTCTCGGTTTCCAATACTTTATAATATTCAAAAAGCGGTACATTCAAAATATTATAAAATTTCTCGGTTACAGTGGATACACTTAAACTGACCTTGAATGGTTAACTACTTTGGTAGTTATAAGGATATAAAGAGATTTGGGTTACATCCTGTGTCTGGCATGACAAATTGACGTATTTATTGTACAGGCTTGACAGTTTTCAAAGCAGTAGATGCAAAAAGCCAGCATTACGTGGATATATGCAATCGACTTCCAACAGCTTGAAGAGAAGACCCTAATCTGGAAATGTTTAGTTATTTCCAGGATGGTTCTGTGAAATTATTAGTGGGGAAATGGGGAAAAGCAGTAACTTCATTGTTAAGTGCTCGAATGACGACGGTAGTTCAATACCCTGCTGGGATATTTTGGAGATCTTTGTTGGAGTTGTCTTCACACTAGATATGTTGTAACGATAATCCTGAAGTCCGCTGCTGCATAAGAAAACTACATAGCGTATGAAAGCCCAGCGTATGTGCGGAAAAAATACTGAGCGTTTATTAGCAAACAGAATACAAACAGAACAATTCACTTGTTATGCTCAAGCATCCTCCTTTGAACCGTAGGACGGTTGACTGCGTGATAGACCCGATAAGACCAATAAAACCATCACACAACGATAAGTTCCAAAAAATAAAAAGAAATATTTGATTAATATCTATGTGAGATATCATGCAGTCGCGATTCAACGATACCACGTGAATTACGCAAAGATTGGCCATAGATAAGCGCAAAGAAAAAAAATGAATAAAGGGTAATATTCAATTTACGTAGGTATCGAAACACATTAACGCAACAGATTACCAGAAAAGTACGAACAACAGATGATGAATTTTGCAATAATGAAGCTACATAAATCGTGTAATAGTGCAGTATATAATACATAACTTGTACTGGACTTCTCTTATCACATTACTACTATCATATTCAAATCAGATATTCTTTACCACTGATATTATTAATATGGAACAGTGAAAGTGGTTGAAACGTTTTATGAATAGTAATATTGTTCTAATTATAACCACGCTTTCAGTTAGAAAGAAAAGTAAGGACCGAAGCGATTCCCTCCAAAAGAATGAAGGGACGTTATAAACAATAGATGCATAGATACCACTTAAACGTATGCTTTCCCTTATTTCAGAGGTTAAAGATAAAAAGGAATAAGTGAATTGCTGGTGAATGGTGGTGTTAGTATCTCCCCGCAAAACTGCGCAAAGATCCATTCATAACTTACTCGCAGCATGCTAACATTAAGCCTCTTTTCCATTCTTTCTTCCTTCGAGAAGCCCGACCGGTGCTTCGCGGTTCTCTTGTTTCTTGCAAATAATTGAACTTGCTTTCAGATGGCAATATTTATTAAGAGTTGCCGTAGGCTCTATTTGAAAAAGTTCCCTAGGGTCATTTGGGTCACTTTGAATATGCCGGTAATTAGTTTAATTCGATTAATTTTCAGGTTTCAATGAAGATTATAAGCTTCATGCAATGGTTCGCCGTATTATTCTTCCATTGTGCACTAGCAGTGGATAATGTTTTCCTTGGTGACAAGATTTATTATGCTGTGAATTGCGGTTAGTATCGTTCCTTACACCATGTTTCGGTTAAACTGAGGATTTTCTAACTTGTGCCGATACTCTTCTACTGTAACTGAAGAAACTTAAATGTTACCGGAGTATTACGAAGATAGTCAGTCAGTCATTAAATGTCCAGATGAAGATGGATAGACCTTTTATTTGCTTTCATACTGACTGCTACCCTCCTTTTCAATAATAAGCTCCATGTATTGTTGGAAGCCTGAATTTTAGTCTTACCAGTTAAGCGTTTATTCAAAATTCTGAAAGTAGTGAAATTTTACAAGAGGTGGTTTTGTTCTAAAGAAAGGAAGAGGAAAATGGAATTTACATTTGGGAAACGTTTTTTACCACCCGTTATCTGTTGTAATCGATTGTTGTTATTAGAGATGGCAGTCATCTAGGCAGTACTACTAGTGAATGAAATGCAGAAATTTTGCCAATGACAATAAAGTAAATGAAATCAACTGAAAATTTTAAAGAGTTGAATGAACTTATAATTTTTCGGAAGGAATGCATCTTCACCAATTACTGTGAATACCTCTTTAAATAATACATATGTTTATTCAGATCTTTCAAATTTTCAGTTGCTTTCCCTTACTTCATTGTAGTCAGAAAAACTGCCTTTTCATTGCATTTCATTCAGTAGTGGTTTTATCTACGCATTCATTACGTCAGTGCACTCCTGCTCTTCCACTTCTTTGTCAAGGGATAAACTGGAATAAAAAGAATTTCTTTTTGACAGCATATGACTTAGTAATAGTACCACTACATCGGAAGTTGTCCTATGTACATAACCCTAGTAGACTTCAATAATTAATGAATGCAAGCAGTTTCCCTTTCTTTCCCGAAAAAAACGAGTAATCTTTATATGTTTTAGGTGGACTGGCACACACAGATCTTAGTGGTATTCATTATCAAGCTGATCCGTTACGCGTTGGCATTACGTCTGATTTTGGCAGTAGACTAACGATAATGAGGGTCGATCCACGTGATGCCATTCTTTATCAGACTGAGAGGTTTATACATTTAATAACTGAATAATAGTGAGCAACATGAAATTTCCAGCTAAACGATGTTCAGTTTCATTAACTGTGATAAGTTAATGGGCAGACTTCTTTACGCTTAAAAGATTAAATAAAAGAGAGCGGAATAATAACAGCGCAGCAGTGTCATTGATGATTTCGACAGCAATGATTAATACTCGATAATTTAATACATCTGTTACTTTCTTGCATCTTACTGTTGTTGCGCAAGAGCAGCAGGAAGTTCTTTACTCTTATTCCTTCATTTCAAATCTTTAACCCTAGTGATTTTGATGGCTGTAAAATTTACTGAAGGCTTATAACAAACTTGTATGATATTGCTGACAGATTTTCAGGTATCACACAGAAGATTTCACTTACACAGTGCCATTACCAAAGGATGATGGCGAATATACATTGGTTCTCAAATTTTGCGAAGTTTATTTTCAGTCTTCACAGCAAAAGGTGAAAGTTTCTTCGCTTCGCTTTAGTTAGACTTGTCTTGAAAAATTTGTTGAGTAATTATTAAGAGAGCTAATCCAGCTCATGTTCAAACACCATTTCATTGCATTATTTTAAGGTGTTTGATGTTCTACTTAACGATGAAATAGTAATCGCAGAGTTAGATATATTCAAGGAAGCAGAAGGAATTGGAGTTGCATATGATCGTTTGCTGACATTTCATGTAAATGAATTCTTTATATTTACTGCTTTTTTTTACTTGAAGATGGGTAACATCTCGATGTTCTTGATTTTAAAACAGGTACACGCATAAGCTTAGCATTTCTATTCAACATTTCATTACGAATTCTTCTTAACTTCCGCATCAGAAAATCGATTTCTATAAAAATGCCTCGGGCTATTTGTCAGATGCCGTTGAATGAATTGGAAGTAAAACATGATGTTTGAAAACATTGAAATTATGTCATGTTGATTGAATCGCTCCAGTTTCGTGGATTTTTTCCATTATGTGAAATTTTCTTTTTGCATTTGCATATGTTCAAAAGTCATTAATATTAAATTTGCACAGGTTGAAAATGGTGTTTTGTTATATGGGGATCGACATGATTCGTCTGGATATATAAAAATCACATTAGCCAAGGCATGCTTTCTTTTCCATTCTTCATTTTTGTCGTTATTGTAATTTACAGTGCTCAAAATGAGTGCTTGAGGATTTTATTAAAAGACTTAGTTGAAATTTTCAAATTATTGGAGCAATACCATTTTTCAGGGTGCTTTGGATAATCCAAAAATAAACGCATTTTACATTTATCGTGGCCCCAAAACGGTAATTCATTTGAAATCTAATCTTGATTAATTTACTGAGATTGTGAAAAGTCTAAATCTATTGTGAAAAGTTGAAGGAAAAATTAATTCTTTTACCAAGTCTGTGAAGAACAAAGTTTTAGTGTTCAGGCTTTTTTAAGGATATCCCAGTTCTACGAGACATATCATTTGATGAAGAAATAGAAAAAGAGGAAGATGAGGAGTTTGATGAAGCAGACATCGAGTTGCGTACTGAAGTCAATCGCTTCGGAGATGAGCCCTTAGCGGATGATCCTTATGCTAAGCAGGATACAAGCCATATGTTCATACCATTTCTCATAGCCTTCGCTTGTTTTTTTCCGGTTTTGTTTTGTTTATGTAAATTGTAACAAAATTAATCTTCCTCATCAATTTACTTTCCCCAGTCTCATGAAGCTGTAGACCTCAGAAACAATTTTCTCATTTTCGCTCGCCTTTTATCTTTGTGATAACCAGATATTAATTGTTTAATTCATTTAAACTGAATTCGTTCGACACTTAAGGTTATAATATTACTGTACTTTTATTTATTTTTGTGTTTATTGTAAAAAGCGTTCCGTGAGTGTTCAGCGTCGTTGTAACTTCAAGCTCGCTAATTATTTTGTATCTTTGATTTCTATTGCTGTCTAGTTATTTAATATTTATCCACATATTTCTTAGCGCACATGGCAATGGGTAGTTCAAGTGATATTTCCATTGGTAGTTATTCGTCCTCCAGTTTACAGTACTTTCCACGAGCATTACTGTACTCGGTTTCGTTGGTAAGCATTAACTTTTATTGTTGATCTGACTGGTTCGTGTAAACTTTTGATCTGACTGGTTCTGTAATCTTGTAGAAATTATCAACTTCACATGTTTTAATGCTTCGGCGAGAGGGTATGATCCTTCACTTTGACTTCTGTTTCTTACCTGTTTTTTGGAGCAGTTGATCCAAAAGGATAGGGATTTTTATTGTACTATTGCCAAAGTATACAAAATTCATCTCAAGGTGATTTATTTTTATCGGTTGAAACGATGTATTGTGTCTCTGTGGTTTGTGAATTTATCCGTTGTTTATGCGGACCTTGTTAATAAGGTTCTGAATAATTCACTTGTAATTTACGGTCTTTTTTACATATTTTCATATTTTTCACATTTATTATATTGGAAATTGGTAGTGAAACTGCAGGAAAATTTACTACAGATAGAAGTAATTATATGATTATGTGCGCAGAGTTTATTCATCCTGGAAGGATTTTTTTGTTATTTAGATTCCATCCTCGCTCTGAACTTTCAAGTGCGATAATGAAATCTGAATAACAAGATATTCAAGTACAATTATCCTCATGAAATGAAGATGCTTTTAAATGGCTTGATTATTGAATGCCTGTTTTACTTTTTATACAGGTATTAGAAAAAAACCAAGGCAAAATCCATTATCCGGATTAACAGCTATTGAATCGAGCTTATCTATGGACACTGATAGTGTACCACCTGCAGATGCTCTTCGATTACTCAAAAAGTTCTTTGGTCATAACAGTTTCCGGCCTTTGCAGTGGACAGTGATTCAAAATGCGTTGAGCGGGAAAGACCAAATAGTGATGATGTCCACAGGTATATTTTCTAAATGTTTGTGTCGTTCAGTAGTTGACGACTTTAGATATTGATTGATTATTCTATTTATCTCAGGTTATGGTAAAAGTGTTTGCTACCAGTTGCCATCACTCTATACCGAAAAATTAACTATTGTTATATCACCACTGATTTCTCTCATGAATGACCAAGTGGAAAATGCCCGGTGAGTTATCACTATCATCATCAAATATGCAAATTATATACACATATTATCGAGTTTCAAGACAAATCGAACTTTATGAAATAATTACAGGAGCAATGGTATTCAAGCTGCTTGTGTTAATGGCGAAACAAACTTGAACGAACAGCAGTCGATCTTCGCATCTAATAATTTGCGCTTGCTTTATATTACCCCTGAATTTGCTGTCCACTGCGGTTCCTTGTTAAAACATATTCGTAAAGGTAAGCTTAATATCTATAAGAAGAAATTCTGCGGAAAGACTCATATCTAACTAATATTTAATTGGTTCACAGTTAAATTTACATGTATAAATACGGTATTCTTTTTATATACTCGGTTGCTGGAGGGGGGGGGGGGGGAGGGGGAGTTGCTACCTAGTAAGCTGCTATTTGTATGCCATGTAAATTGAACGGACCTATTTCAGATATTAATTTGCTAGCAGTCGATGAAGCTCATTGCGTTTCTGAGTGGGGACACGAATTCCGGCCTAGCTATCGACAGTTGGCTAAAATTCGTTATCTTTTTGGTAAAAACGTCCCAGTGATGGCCCTTACGGCTACATCTACAGAACAAGTCAGAACGGATATTGCTAGCAGTTTGGAACTCCATCAACCAGTTATCACACTTGCACCCTTGGATAGGTTTGAACTATCAGAATTTGAAAATTCTCATATATATATATATATATATATATATATATATATATATATATATATATATATA